GGTGATGCCTACATCATGTAAATGTACTTCAAGCCACTGAACTGTACACTTAAAATATGGTTAAAATGGCAAATTCTATTTTTTCTTCTTTTTAGCCATTTATAGTCTTACCAATTTAATGTTCTTTTATGTGGTATATTTTAATCACAAAAAAATTGCTTCATAGAAAAAATATATTCTAAAGCTAAAAACAAATAATTAGGATAATCTATACCACTGTACTTCTCTACCATAATAGGTAAAGAGTTGACCATATTTAATAATTAAATATTATGCCAAATAAAAATGACATTGGGAAGGGCCGAGAAACTCTTATGACATATCTATGTTTCAAAGAAAATGAGGCGCCTACAAAGACATGATTAACCTGTTATGACTGAAGAAAATGCACTTATTTCAAATTTATATTCTTGTTCAGAAAACCAAGAGGTAAATCTGAATGGCAGCAGTCTTCATATGTCAGTAGCTGTATGTTTGAAAATTGCAGTAACCCTAGGAATGCACGCAGATCTCCCTTTAAGAGAGCCTGATTCAAGGAGTAGAGTTTGCAGACGCCTCCAGCTGCTGAACCTTCAGAATCCAGCAGTGTCATGCTGAGGTGCCACTCCCTGAACCTCTGCAATGACTGAGCTCGGTGCGAGTAGTAGACATGGGCCATTCTTGCCTACTATGGAATTCTTTCTTTTTTTTGAGACAGAGTCTTGCTCTCTTGTCAGGCTGGAGTGCAGTGGTGCGATCTTGGCTCATTGCAATCTCTGCCTCCTGGGTATTCAAGCCATTCCCCTGCCTCAGCCTCCCGAGTAGCTGGGAATACAGGCACACACCACTGTGTCTGGCTAATTTTGTGTGTGCCCGGCTGTGTGTGTGTGTGTTTAGGAGAGATAAGATTTCATCATGTTGGCCAGGATGGTCTTGATCTCCTGACCTATTAAATATTTAATAATTAATTATTAAATATGATCTGCTTCCCAAAGTGCTGGGATCACAGGTGTGAGCCACTGTGCCCGGCCTACTATGAACTCTTCTAATGGGCAGTCTTTGTTCTGACACTCCCCTTTAGCCTGGCTGAGAATTTCACAGAGCTGCACTGCAGTCCGGACACTCTTCCTACCCAACTCCCTTCCATTACAGGTGTCAGATCCTCATCACAGCTTGAGACTCTCCCGCTCCTTCTTTACTCCTGCTCCCTCTCCTCGTTATCCTTCGCTGGCATTTCTCCCAGAATTGCACATCCAGTTCTTAGTGTCTGTTTCCTGGAGGGCCTGAGCTGACACAGAAACTGTAAGTTTTGTTAGGTATGTTTGAGTTGACTTAGAAAAAGTATGGGCATGATTCAGATATTTGCCCTACTTTAATAATATTAAAAAAACGAAGATTGTTTCCTGAAAACTAGTTCTCTAGGCTATCTCAGCCTGGCTGACTTGAACTAGGTGACTGGCGTTTGGGGAGCTGGTTTCATTAGGTAGGTTGCATATAGCTGGAGGCCCCACTGACGTTTTCATTCAGGCTGTAAAAGGGGGCAATGCTGCACCAAAATATAGAAGTAAACCAAAAAGGAATGGAGCACAGGAAACTGGACATATAATATGGGCTGCAAATGGCAATCACAGAGTCAATGCATTAGGAGAGATGGGTAGTTGTTCTCTGAGTCAGGCTGGGAAGTCAGTCCCTGACTGAACAGTATATGTCTTAGAGATGCCTGGTGTAATTAACTTTCTAGGGCTTTCCTAACATACTACAAATTGGGTGGCTTAAAACAAGTCATATTCTCACAGGTCAAGAGGTCAGCAGTCTGCAGTCGAGGTACCCGTATATTGATTCCTTAAGTATTCAGAGGGAAAACCTGTCCCATGCAGCTCCCCTAGCTTCTGGTGGCTGCTGGTAGTCCTTATTTGTGGCAGCAGAACTACCATCTCTGCCTCGCATGCCACATGGTATTCTCCTTGTATGTCAGTGTCTCTGTCCAAACTTGCCTCCTCTTCTAAGGACATGAGTCATAGTGCATTCGGGACCCACTTCAATCCAGCATGACCTCATCTTAACTTGACTACAGCTGCAAAGTCCCTATTCCAAATTCACAGGTTCCAGATGGACCTGAATATGGGAGGTTGGGGAGGTGGGGAACTATTCAACCCAGTACACCTGGAGACTTGAGTTTACATTAAAAACTAGCCTTTAGATAAGAGATGAAGAAGAATTTTCTGGTGGTGAGACTTTGAAAATAGAAATATAGGGTCTTGTTGCAGATCTGAGGCATGAGAAGGTACAGACTTCTTTCCTGATCACTGTTCTTAGGATATTACTTAATCGATACTCTCCTTGGCTTCCAGTCTTCAGAGCAGTGAAATATCTGCTCTTTAGTGCATTTCTGTACATGGATTTGGCCCATTCCTTTACCGACAATTGTTTCTATAGAGGAAGGCAGATAGCAGAGTCCAAATACTAAATTCCAGAATCATGCTGGAGAGGGAGAGAGACAGCCACTTTGGGTGGAGGTGGGCAGCAACATCATTTAAGTGGAATGGGGGGAAGGAATCTAGGTTATTTTTTATCTTTTCCCCAAACCTCTTTATTCTGACATCCCCTAACCCTGCTTCACTCTTAGATCTCTAAGTACCTAGTTCTGCCAGTTCCTGAACATACTGAGGATTCTGCAGTAAATCAGGTTGGTTCTCAGCTTTCTGCACTGACAGCTAAGAACGTGTCTATCTCTGTTCCGCTGTGTAAATGTCTATTCATCCATCTACTTTCAGCTTGCAAAATTTTGTTGTTCTTTTCCTGTTTTTCTCACACTTGACTTTTTTTTTGCTGTGGGTATTCATGTGTCCCATCTATCTATTCATTTATCTATCTATTCATCTATCTATCTTCCTATTCATCCATCCATCTCCCTTTGTTATAGTTTGAGCTAGGCTTTGGAGGGAATAAAATTAGATGCATATATTAACCTGACATCTTAACCTGAAATTCAGATTTAAAGTGATACCAGTCAATATGATTGTAAGGTTTTCTCTCGTAACTCTAAGCAGCTCAGGTGCAGGAATGAAGTGGGCAGACATTTAATCAGGGTTGAAGTTTTGCCAGATGAAAAACAGAGGAGGGAGGAGACAAGCCTCAGGGGTATTTTAATTGCAAGGGAGTCATCATAATGATGCACCCCAGAGTCCAAAGCTGGATGAAGAACATAGTGAGGACATAAGATGATGAGTGAAAAAACAGAGTCAATGGGGATTGGAGTCTCAAAAACTTTTTAAAAAGTGCTCAGTTGGGTACACAAAATGAAGGGAGTAGGAAGGATAGTGAGTGGAGGGCTTAAAATTTAGATTTGAGACTTTGCAGAGGTGGCTATTGGGTGTGACCTTGGGAAGGGGTGGTGTGGCAGACTCTTTTGCCACAGCATCATTCATCCATTGACCTTCTACGCTGTGACAATGTCACACCTTCATTAAGAGGTGGAGTCTTATTCTTTCCCCTTGTATCCGGACCCGCCCTATAACTTGTTTATAACCAACTGGGTAGAAATGAAGCTGTGTAATTTCCTATGCTAGGTAAGATAGTGTTGACCTGGCTCTAGTGGAATGCTCCCTCTGGGGAAAGTCTGCATATGAGAGTGACCAACTACCCAGAGACTGCCACGCTGGAGAGGCCACATGTAGGTGCTCTGGTTGACTGTCCCAGCTGAAAGCATCCCTGCCAAAGTACTAGACATGTGAGTGAAGCTGTCTTGGACCCTACTAGAGCAGCCAGTCAGGTGACTTCAGTTGATACCATGAGAAACAGAATTGCCTAGGCCAGATCAAGAACCAGGCCTGAATTCTTGACTTACATCATTTGTCAAGTATGATTAAATGTTTATGATCTGCAAGTATCTTTCATCCAGACCTCTCCCATGAACTCCAGAGTCATATATCCACTACAGTTAGATGGCTAATATGCATCTCAAATTTAACATGTCCAAAACTGAGTTCTGGATAGTTCTCTCAAATCTGCTCTTACCTACCTCAGTTAAAGGCAATTAAATAGTCTTCCAGTTGTGCAGGCCAAAAACTTTGCTATCATCCTCACTCCTTCCTTTCTCACATATTCCATATTCAATATGTTAGGAACTCCCATGGGCTCTATCTTCAAAATATATCCAGATTTCAATCACTTCTCACCAGTTCCACTGCTACTGCCCTGGTCCAAGCTGCCATCATCTCTTGCCTGGATTACAATGATAGTCTCTTACAGGTTTTGCTGTGTTGTCCTTTGCATCTAACTTACTCAAAGGGATCCTGCTAAAATGTCAGATTATATCCCTCTTCTGCTCAGAATCCTCCAATGACCTGCCATCTCAATCAGTAAATAAATGCCAAAATGCATTTACTAGGACCTACACAGCCTGCCTGCCTCACCTCTCTGTTCTACTTTTTTGTGCTCCTACAGTGGCTTCCTCCCTGGTGTTTCATCTGGATAGGTGCAGTCATGTCTCAGGGGCTTTGCACTAGTTGCTTCTTCTGCTGGAAAATTCTTCAGAGACCCATGTAGCTAGCAATCTGTCATTCAGACACCATTCCTTGCTTCTTTTTTCTCCTTAGCATGTATCACTGTCTACCATACTATATATTTTACTTATTTATTATCTGTTTTCCCCAGTTGAATGTAAGGGCCATAAGGCAGGAAATTTTGTCTAATTTGTTTACGGCTGATTAAACTAGTACCATGCACATAGACAGCACTTGAAACATATTTAATGACAATTTCTCTGTACAGTGTATACTATCCCCATCAAAGGAAAAAAAAAAACATTAAGAGCAAAACAAGAGGTGGGGGGGCCGGGAATAGCTAAAGAAAATTCTAACAAGAGTTATCTATAATTATAGCTTTTATTTATTATATCTTCATTCAATTATTTATTCACAATGTTCTACTTGCATTCTTGATGTATATCTGACTTCATCAAAAGAGTGAATCCACTAGGCAAAGTTCATTTATTTTTCATGATGTTCCTCTTTTGATTTTGAGTCTTTACTCTCCAGGAGTCCTAAGAGAACTGCATCTGCCTCTAGTATAGTTGTATCTGTTGTTCCTCCCAGGAACCTAGACGTAAGTTCCAGATCTAAGAGTCGCAAGCGGACCCTGGTTCCTTGCTGATATTTCCTAAATAGTAAGAAAAAAGTGTCCATTAATTCTGAATATCATAACATGAACAACCAGTTTAACAACCACCACGAAATTCCAATTTTAATTTATGTTAGCTCAAGATGAAGTTAACACTGGTATCTGAGAAATAGTTGTATTTGACATAAAAGTAATTTGGTTGTATAAGAATTTTTTTCTCCCCTGCCGTACCATCTTTTTGTTTCAAAAAAAAAAAAACAAAAAACAAAAAACCAGGGTCTCACTTTGTTACCCTGGATGGCATACAGTGGCACAATCATAGTTTACTGTAACTTCAAACTTCTGGCTCAAGCGACTCTCCCACCTCCATCTCCCAAGCAGCTAGGACAACAAGCATGCACCACCATGCCCAGCTAATTTCAGAGTCAGAATCTCTCTGTGTTGCCCAGACTGGTCTCAAACTCCTGCCCTCAAGTGGCCTCCTAAATTGTTGGGATTACAGGTATGAGCCACTGCCAGCTCTAGAATTTTCATCTTAAAGTTGCTTTTAAAGATTTTAAAACCACAGTAAACTGAAATTCAAGCAAGTCAGTTCTTAAAACTGGTGTTTGCTTTAATTTGTCATTTAAAGTCAGAGAGTGTCAAGGGGAAAAGAAGTTTCAAATACATTTTCCTCCTGAAATTAAACTGTCTTTTAAAGTAAAATTTTACAAAAGCAAAATGGAAAAAAGTCTAAGTGCAAAGAATTCGGTATTTGGGATTGGTTGCATTGTTATCAAAATGTAAGGCCAGCTGGATGAACCTGGAGGACTTTATAATCCACGCACAGTAAGGCAAACCCCATGTGATCTCTCACTTATACATGAAATCTAAAAGAGTTGAACGCCTAGAAGTAGAGAGAACTACAGCCCCTGTGGTTACCAAGTCAAAGGATGTTAGTCAAAATTTCAGTTAGATAGGAGGAATGAGTTCAAGAGATCTGTTGTACATCATGGTGATGACAGTTAATAACCATGTGTTGTAGACTCAGTAATTGCTAAGTGAGTAGATTTTGTGTTCTCATCACCAAAAATCATTAAGTATATGAGGTAATGCATTTATTAGCTCAATTTGGCTATCCCACAATGTATATGTGTTTCAAAACAGAATGTTATACCCAATAAATATGTACAATTTTTATTAGTTAAAAAGAAACTAGGAAAGAAAATGTAATGCCAGCCATGACACACGATGACTCAATTTAGTCAATAAAATACTCAAATATTTTATAATGCCAAATGATAACTGATATCCATTTGCCTTTCTTCCTCAATTGTTTTAAAAGTTAAATATCAACATTCTAGAACAGCAAGAGTGAAAATACTGCTGATTAAAAATCACAAATCTGTAACAATCTAAATATATGCTTTATATATTCTAATTTAATTTTAAAATTAAAACAACTTCATAGAAAATGGAGAAACAAGGTTCTCAAAAAAGTCACTGGAAAATAATTTTGGTAGACTACATGTGAATAGTCTCCACACAATATTAGGGTATTCTTCAAAAATTTATAACATTTAGGCTATTCAGCTTTTTTTTGAGAAGTCCTGATTTTAGAAATAAATTTTTTTGTAAAATCTGGAAAATGATGAGGTCAATCACATTTTCTAGCCCTTCTAAATGTTTATATGCATATATGTACATAAGTGTATTTAATTTAACATCAGGCAATATTCTGCATCTTTGCTTTAAAAAACTATATGTAACATGGAGATATCCTCCATGTTACAGATAGAAAAATTATGGTACAGGGAAGTAAAGCTACTGGCCTAATGCCACACAGTGGTCTAAGAGGATTCACAGATTATTCTGCTCTTCCTTAAGTTTTCAATTACCTATGACCTCTTGAAAGAACAGTAAACATAATCCCTTTAGGAGTGGTAACAATTTATGACTTCATATAGTCTTATAATGTCTTTCCTATGAAGTAAAATGTAAGCCATACTGCTACCATTCAACTCATTATTTTAATAATTCTCCATTAGGAAAATAGCTACTTTCAATGGTTACAAATAAATTATCATTAAAAACAATATCTACTGCCTCATGCCATGTTTTTTTTTACATATTTTTTTAATTGGGGGGAAAAGCTCCCTACACACTTTTGCAGAAATCTTGTATTTCCTATTAAAACCAAAGAATACTACTGTCTTGAAAGGCAAATAGGATGTCTCCACCGAGCACATTCAAAATGAAAACAGCCTGTGTTTTTACTGCTTGGTGTGTTTCTTTTAACTTCAAGTGCTTGCTTCTGACTGATCTTTGTGAACTCCTGCCTAAATGGATTCAATCTCAGCCTTTACCAAGACTGCTCTCTTCCACTGTACACTTTCTCAGGCCATATGCTGCAGTAAACGAGCCTGCATGTCTGAGCTGTATAGGAAAAGGGCAATTAAATCTGGTTTTGCATTTCTGTATGAAGGGCATGGTTTAAAGAGTTTCCTTTGGAGAGGTTTCTGACATTCTTTCCACAGACATTCTTTAACATCTGTCAGTGTATGCCACTGATGGTTCTCACAGACTTAAAATAGGGAGAATCTTTCTGACTAGTTCTTTGATATAAATATATTAAGTAATACAAAGCCAACAAATACAAAGCTTGGATTGAACCTCAGTATCCAAAGAGAATATTGTGAGGAATTCTGACTTTGCTAGTCAAATTAGCTGTCTTGCTGTAATCATAATTCTCAGAAGTTTTAAAATAGTTCTTTTGAAATCATTAACCATCTATGATTTCATCCTACTACATTAAAATCATTCAGACACTTTTCTGGCTTTCTCACAATTCCTTAATTAGAGTTTTAAGACTATAGAAGAAAAGTTTCCATTTTCTCTTTTTTCAAGAGGAAGAAAAACATTTCTAAAGGTTTAATTAGCATCAGTGTGTTTCTTTTTCTAATTCATACCAATGCTCATAGTCATACCAATCTACATGTGAAGTCAGCAGCCATGTCCCTGTGTGTATGTGTGTGAGTATGTAGGAATGTGTATGTATTTTCTTCTTTAAATAAACTGTCTGGGCTTCAATTTCATCATTGTTTAAAAGCACAGGGTCACGAAAGACCTTAGATCTTTTGCAGTTGAATGATTTTATTCTACTTTTATACTAAGTGTTTGAAAATTGATATAATAACGTAAAGTGATATTACATGCAAAATTGATTATATATATACAAAATGCAAACTTTTAACCCTTTTTATTAGCTACGTAAAATACTGCAATAATCCTGAACATTCAATTAAGTGAATCTTTAAATGCAGACTACTTGGTTTGTTTCAGATGTGCCCCAGTTTTCCAAGTACCATATACCATGTTCCCTTGACGTGTCTAGTCTATCGCTTCTTTCCATTCAATCTGTAAGATGCCTATGAAGAGTCTCCCATTTGTTATTTTTATTCCCTAGATGATCAAAAGCATGCAACACTGCATAACCCTTAACTGATTCCTAGACAATCTATTGAATAAGTGGCTAATTATTTAAAAGATGTGATTAAGTATTGCTATGTGTTTTAGTATCTATCGCTCATCACTGTACCACCCATCATCGAGCACAGAAACCATGATTAACAAAATAAACATGAGAGGATGTTAAAAAGTCCTACTCCTGGGAACATCACACACTGGGGTCTGTTGTGGATTGGGGGGCTAAGGGAGGGACAGTGGGGGGCGGCAAAGTTGGGTGGGGAAGGATAACACTGGGAGAAATGCCTGATGTAGGTGATGGGGTGATGGAGACAGCAAACCACCATGGCAACAATCCTGCAAGATCTGCACATGTACCCCAGAACTTAAAATACCATAAAAAAAGAAAAGTCCTACTCCTCTCCACTATTTCTAGTCGTTATTAAAACTTCAAATACAGCACAAGTCCTAATTTATTATCCCAGGTCATTAGAAGATATAAATTAAGATATAATAATTATTATAATCATAATTTTTGATACCTGAATTATTCCCAAAAGTCCTTTAAAAAATAATGATTATCACTTTAAAAATACTATCTAGAGTGTGCCTACCATTAGGTCAAATAAACAATATGTATAAATGCCCATTGGAAATCTACATGCTGTTATGGCAATGAGCAAAAGACACTATTCATAAAACCAAAGTGCCTTTCCTCAAACTGCAATTATCCTGAATACTTTAATCTTGTTCTAAAAATCTAATATGAATATATAATTTTCAAGTTCTTTTTAACCTTTCCCTGACCGTATTTTGTTCCACCGCAAACAGAAGTTTTGTCTCTTGTTCAAGCATTGGTTTATTTTATGAAATGTGAAAATGGAGCATTTATAAATGTTTAGTAAATAATTTCATTTTCAATAATGTGGAATATACATAAATACATTATAAATGGTATCAATAATGATAGTTATAATTTTTTCTCAAGTTACAAAAGAAGATGTGTCAAAAAATGAGGGAGAGCCAGCTATGGTGGCTCACACCTGTAATCCTAGCACCTGGGGAGACCAAGGCAGAAGGATTGCTTGAGTTCAGAAATTCAATACAAGCCTGGGCAACATGGCAAAAGCCCATCTCCACAACTACGGAAATTAGCCAGACATGGTGGCACATGTCTGTGGTCCCAGCTACTTGGAAGGCTAAGGTGGGAGGATTGCTTGAGCCTAGGAGGTCGAGGCTACAGTAAGCCAAGATGACACTACTGCACTCAGGCCTGGGTGACAGAGCAAGACCCTGTCTCAAAAAAAAAGAAAAAGAAGAAAAGGAAAGGAAAGGAGGAAAAGGAAAATCCTATTGAAAGAAAGGAAGGGAAGGAGGGAAAGAAGGAAGGAGGGAGGGAGGGAAGGAGGTAAGGATGGAGGGACGGACAAAGGGAGGAAGGGTGGGTGGGAGGGGAAAAGAAAAATCCTGTCACCTAACAACCATATGAAGTCTATTTTCATTAACAAACTAGATACTTTTTGCTAGTCAAAATATGAATATATATATATATATGTAAGGGGCAAAAAAAAAAAAAAAGAAAGAAACAGGAGTAA